CCGAGGGCGGTGATGGTAAAGTTGATGAAAGAGAAAGATAAGGCACACATATTGCAACAAGCAAAGAAGCTTAAAGGATCTAATATTTATATAAATGAAGATTACACCGAGTCTGTGAGAAAGAGAAGAAGGGAGTTGACGCCAAGGTTAAGGGAGGCCAGGGCGAGGGGAGACATCGCGTTCCTACGGTATGACCGACTAGTGACCCGTCCTCGGAACCAGAATCCAGGACCTATGACCAGCACGCCGAGGACCAGTATGCCGAGACAAGGAGAGTATGAAGGGGTCACTAGTCGGTCATACCGCAGGAACGCGATGTCTCCCCTCGCCCTGGCATCCCTTAACATAAGTAGTTGCACAAAACCTTTGAAGTTGTCTTGTTGGCTCAACAGTGCGGTGTACATCTGCTTCTGCTAATCTTGCAATCTTTCTTTGAGTTTGCAGTGACTGCAAACTAATGTACCCATCAACACTCAATGAGACAGAACAGAAAAAGTAAAATAAAAACAGATTTTCAGAAATACAGCTGTGCAACTACTTATGGAGACAAATAACAAGAGACTCAATGACATGACCAGAGAAATACAGGAGATAAAAACGAGTTTGCAGTTTACCCAGCGAGATGTGGATGTGATTAAAGCAGCCATGGGTGAACAGAAAATACAAACCAAGGAAACAAATTTGTCCTGTTGTATTGATCCCCTCAGCAAAGTGAAGAAAACGCTTTTATAATTACAACAGGAAAGTGCAAGGCCCTTAGCTGGACGTCACTACATGTTCTTAGCTTGGTTTATTTAAAACACTTAAAACAGAAATGCAAACATGATTGAAGATTTAAGATAATGGTACAGACTACAGCTGTATGAAGTATGAAGACAGTGGTCAGTGCAAAGTTCAAGTAGACAACATGAACTGTATCCACAACAAAAACTGGCTATATGCCCATGGGGCTTAAATTTAATAGTAGTGTATCTGATGTGTCGGTGTACAAACTTCACTTCTAATGTGTTACTGAGTGAGAGGTAGCTGGTTAATGTGATCATATACTGTAAATGTGTGACAATGTGATAACAGCTAATAGTTTGCTAGAGAAATAAAGTCTAATTTTTAATGACAGTAAATTATTCATCAACCACACAGTAAGATATTAAAAATATTCTCAATCATATACCCTGTACACACTATGTGAAGACCCAAACTTGAAATGTATAAGAAATTGCATTTAAATTTAGTATATTTATTTCAGAGCAAAGCAACTAATCTAAAACTAAAACAGTCTGAGAGAAGTCTGTTGCTGCATAACAACACCGCTATAACAGACTCACCTATCAAGAAATCCCATTTTTCAGACTCTCGGTGCTCAACAACAGGAAATTAAAAAACCAAGAAAAGAGCAGCAAAGGATACCCATTCACAAAAGTGATGACAGTCAGAGGTTCTACAGGTAAAAGGAAGACCTTTCAGAGTGTTGATAACACTGATGTGATAGAAGGGATGATGGCTTACTGACTCATAATAGCACTCAGACATTAGATCAACATCAGCCCAGACATTGAAAAAACAATTCCCATGAGTTTAGTTTGAGGGTTTTTTTTTAAACATATAGATACACATCTTTTTTAGGGTACAATGACCACTGATGGACAGAAAATGAGCCCAAATTATTGTAGCAGGCTTATTTTTTATTTGTTTTTCCTGGAAAAATGCTATAAAGGCACCTTACTCATAGAACTCTATTAGAAAGGCCCTAATCTACAGTGTATCTGAAACAGCCAGAGTAAAGTAAAATACACACCCCTAAGGAGGTATCTGCTCCATTGTCATTTTGTATTGGGTTTTCTTCATTAAAACAAACAACCACAAAATTTAAAAAAGACTGACATGGACAGAGAGAGGGGATTACAGGGTTCAACATTAACCTTGGCCCGATGGCCCATGGCCACAAAACGTTACTGTGTGGTCACCATATATCCCCGCAGGTGGCCCACTGTGGTCACCAAGCTTTATCAGATTTCTACTAAGAATGAGACCCCATGTCTCTGACCCCCCTGCACTTTGCCAACGGAACATTAACGTTTCACAAACATCCTGCTTCATTTGTCTTTTAGTTCAACATTCTACAAAAACAGCGAACAGCAAGGTTACCTGTTGCTGGCTCACTGCCATTATGTCAGAGCTGCTGAGGTACAGGTTTACTAAGCCTAATCAAACGTCTAACACAATCACTACAGAAGAACTAGAAACAAAAACATGGACTATGAAAAAACAACAACGAAAATTTTAGGAGTGAATGGAAGCAGGAGTGCAAGTGCCTAGAATATAACACATCTACATTATTAAAGCGAGGTTATGACCCAAGCCAGCAGGGACTGGGGCTGAGCTACTGCAACTTGAGACTAAAAATTTAAGTTTAACTCTCTTTACAAAGCAATTGTCACACTGCAGGAAAACACCCTGACGTCTGTCTGTCAACAGCCCTTTCAGACATCCACTGCAATCCTGAACTTATCTAGACTTTACCTGTGTCATTGCTCAACAAACACTAACAAGCAAGTAACTCAGGTAATTCATTATCAAGCGTTCATGTTTGCTGACTTTTTATGTGGGCCAACATGGTTAGGGCAACAGTATTTGAAAACTATTCAAAACCAATACCAAACCATTTTATTTCCTATATGGGTTTACTTATTGCAATACTGTATGTGTTCATTATGCACTTCGAGTCAATTTGCTGAGAAAATTCTGATATTTCTCAGACATGACAATTTACTGTTAGTCACTATGTGTTGCATTGTTACCTTGCAGCTTGAAAGTTTGCAACCAAGTCGTCCAGTAAACGGTTTTTTCTTAGGTCTGGTTCTGTTGTTTGCTAAGAATTAGAAGTGAGATAAGAAGAGAACCGGCATCATTTGTTAACAATTGTATAACAATTAATAACCAAGTATGGTCTATGATGGTGTGTTCTTATTGAAGCAAAGACCCGGATGAGTATACAAATGCTTTGGGGTATAATCATGCATTCAAGTCTAGTTCATACTTACTGTATGGCAAAGTGGACACTGCAACTTATAGGAAAGAAATTTTCTGATGCACAGGGAGCAAACTGTAAAACGGAAAACAAATAATCATTGTTTTATTTAGATGAATGTTTTTAAACTGATTGAACAAAGTCAGTGAAAATATATTCTTTTTAGTGCACAGGTGTATGCAATTAATTTATAAAAAAAACTTTAATGTAGCTCATTCCTAATTCGAGGCATAACGGTGCACATACATTGAAAACAAACAAATTCTGAGGCAAAATAGCTGCAAAGTCTATAAATATAAACAGATGCAAATAAAGATGTCCCCACCCAAATTAAACTCTCTTCAAATGAAGCAGGAAACTCACTGTTGTAGAGACAACAGCAGGTTCTTGGTTGGTAACAGACAGTATGCTGTATTCGTACATACAGCTAACACATGTATATTGAAAAACATTCATTTGAATATTTGAAAAGCCATCTATTATCATTCAGATGTACAACTCTTACTGCTTTGCCACTGATTTCCAACAGTACCATGTTTATTTTTTCAAAAGCATCTCAGCTGCATTTTGCTTAATTATTACTCAATGCTGTCCAAATCTTCCAAAAAGAGTAAGTAGTACAATAGCTGCTCTACTTGTTACTTACAGTTGTGAGAGCATTTAGTCATCATTGTTATATTGAGGAAGTCAAAGCAAATTGGACACCGAAGCAGGGCATCCACATTCTGTAGATGAGGGAAATCAAAATGACCAAATGATAATTATGAAACAACTCATATTAGTTTTTGGTAATGAACAACAACATGAAACAAAGTAGAAATTAAAGTAGCAATAAGAGATTTTTCATCTGTTAAAACATGGCAGGTTGGAAGCACATGAAATGATTTTAATGTAAAAATCTTCTTTGCTAAAAGTAAGCATAAATATTTTCATTTGAGTTGTTGCATTAAAACAAATTAGAAATGCAATGCTTATTTCGGACTAACTATATTTGAGAAACCAAAGGGTTGCTTAATGGCTGACGATACACAAAAGCGTCATATAAGAGTTGGCGCTCTCCCTTTAGGACAGCTGATCAAAAAGTTGGCAGAGTTTTAAGCACTGCCCAGATAAGAATCTTCTAATGTTGTCATATCCCTAACATCTCGCAGTTGTTCACTGTCATGATACATAAGTTACTATAACAGCAACCAGAGCCGGCGTTACCAGATGACCCATAACCAGCTAGCTGTTTTAGGTAGCTCATACAGCTAGCAGGGTATCATAACGGCTAACTATATTTAGGATGCCTCACTTAACATAACAGCTACGTTAAACGTTTAAATAATGTTGGGCATTCTGAATGAGCAGTGTACAAATATGCCATTATGTGCTATAACATCAACGTTAATCTGTATTAATAATAACAGTTTTCATTGAATGTTAGCTATAAATAAATCAATGTATTTGCTATGTAACGTTAAGATTAACTGTTACATACAGAACTGTCAGCAAGCAATCCAGTTGAAGTTAGACTAAGGAACCGAACAGTTAACTCTAGGTTTTTACTTCAGTAATGTTAGCCATAAAAACATAACATTAATGCTTCTCGTTAGTTAACGTTAATGTCCGTATGTATGATGCTGTTGTCCTATCAGCTAGTGGCTAGTAGCCAGCATATTAGCAAAATGGGTGCAATTAAAATAAACATACAACTTACTTTGAGACACGCAAGACCGGGTGGCAAATCCGCTTCCATGTCTAGTAAATCACAAGAAGTTATTTTAAAAAGTGACTAAACTTTGTTTCCGTAATAGGCCAAGTTAACCAAAGTCCCGCTCGAAGAACCCGACGGCACGCCTCTTACGTCATCTGATGACATCCGGCGAATTTCCGGTTTGCGTTGCACTTTGTGGAGTTTGTGAGCTGAACCATAAATGCAGAAGTTTTCATATCCTATATAATAGCAGTAAATAGCTACAAAATGGTAAAACAGAATCCTTACTACAATTATGCATTGTGCGGTACTTTATATGTATATAGGATCCTAAAACCATAAAGACTTCGTGCAGATTACAGCTTTTGATGCCACTGGAGGAATAGATTGAATGAAGGAATGACAGCATAAGACTTTTCTGGATGTTTGTATTCCTTTGAATAAGTCAGTCCCTCAAGGTTTAAACACTATTAAACTGAACCATGACTTTACTCCCATCAGACAACCTCAATTTAAAAAATAAGATAAACTGTGGTCTGCAGAACAGACAAAAATACAAAGTTAATGCTCAGCAAATAGTAATGAGACCTCAGATAAAAGGCTAACTTGTAAAGATACTTTTTTGACTTGATGTGTGGTACAAACAGAGTATCACTTAACTTTTAAGAGGCATCAGACAATCTTATAATGAAATTAAAAGTTATGCTGTAAGTACTGTATCTTATGATTTCAGATCATCAGACCGCTACTCTAGCTGTTAAGCAGAACCATGATCCAGGTTGCATCTGCAGAGTAGGATGTTACATGAGAGAGAGCAGTGGGGAACAGCATGGGTAGTACTTTGATGTGGATTAAAACAAGCCATCTCACGTTAAAAAAAAACCTTTAAAAGATTCTGTAAAAGAGTGTAGCCTGTTTCTGCTATTGAAATATGTTTCAAATAACAAGAGTATGCTGCTATAGACTGTTTTACTTTTTCACTTACTTACATGTGCACCTTAAGGAAGTTCCCATGCCCACAGATCACTGTAGGAAATCTACTAACTTCATTATGCCGAATTGGTCTTCATGGGAAACTAAATCCAGACACATTATGTTTTCCCTAAAACATATTTTGTCAATGAGAGACAGCATTGCAGAGCGTAGCCATTCATCCCTAGGCTATAGGGTGAATCAGAGTTTCATGTGTACACACTGACTGTGTGACTGATGGGGCTTTGACTGACTTGATCTATGAAACATCTATGACACACATGTTATGCTGCCATTGATTCCCTACATGTACTGTATATCTCTATCTAATGAGCCCCTTAGAAAGTGAGTGATCTTGACAATTGCTGGAGCTGAGGAAAATGAACAAATAGATGAAGTTTGAGCTGGGTCTGGTGTTTAACAACAGAATTAAACAGGCCAGATAACCTTGTCCTTGAAAAATACTTATGACAGAGTACTATTTTAGTGATTCATTGTTAATTAATTTTGTGTGTTTTGCTTCAGTTTTGTTTAGCAGGTGTAGAATGGCAGCAGTAACACCGTTTGCCTCTCATATGTGCTCAGGCAGTAGATTGAATTTTGAAAAGAGTCTCAGAAATATGTCAAGTAAAATACATTTGTTATTCCTTCTTCGTTTGCCATTTTATATTTAATTCCTCTAGTATTTACTACAGAACTTCAGTCACTCATTTTTTGCAAAATGACAGAAGCTAATATTCTTATAAAAATTTTGTTTTCATAATGTATTATACACGTAACATGTACTGAATATTCTACCCAGAGGTCCATGCCATTATTGAGCTGGTACATCCTTGTCCGCAGGCCCACTTAATTGAAAGCCTGTTACAGTGAATTGCTATAATTTGTTATCTGTGAACTATTAATTAGACGAGACAGAATATTTACTCTAATGTACTCATCATATTAGTTTCTCAATTAGTCATTTACAGCATGGCTGAATTTGGGGTACATGGCATGCACTCTAAACATTCGGTTCCTAGGGTGCCCCTTGGCTCAACTGTAATGCTAGTTTTTACTACATTAGATTGGGAATACTGTGAGGCCAATGTTTATTAGAATTGTCAGTTCATGGACCCTTCCCTCACCCTTCACAAGGACACTGAATTAGAATTTCAAAAAAAAAAGAAAACACTATCATAATACTTGTGCATTCTGCACAAACCATGCATGAAGCCACAGTAATGTTACAATAAAATGAACAACTACTACCTACCATTTACCTGTACTGGGTTAGTAAGCTCATGAATAACATGGTTAGGATCATTTTAATGGCCTGCTGTCCAGGAACCTTTGTATTAACCATAGGGAATCACTGAAGTAATCATTAAGACATTTAATCACACTTAAAATTGCCTATCCCGGAAATAGCTGTAAAATGAAAGCTAACTGTAACTAACAAAATTATTTGGGTAATTTGTTTTCAGCTGCATCAGATGAACACACATGCTACAAAAAAAATCAGTCATTGCTAATGCAGGGTCAGCTGCCTTGGGTCTTAATGTTGGCAACTCTCATCTCAAAAACCTCACTTCAGAGTCCTGTTATTAGTGCAAAGCCACATTTGACATGCCACTGCAAAAAGCACCATAATTGTAAAGAGGCAGTGATAAGATCTCAGATATGGAATGTGCAATCTGCATGCATGTCATGCATTCGTTGGTGTAGTTTGTGTAAGGATGTGCACAAGCAATGCAAACAGCCTGGTTGACTTGCCCTGTGTGTTTGGATGTAATTTATAATGCATGATGCAATGACAGTACCTTTCTTCATCCCTGTTCATCAAACATATATGGGCATAGCTAAAAAGGTCCCTAAATTCAGAGGTGTTGTCATCTGCTATAACCTTGAAAGTCTTGTGATTGCTCATGTTCCTTTCCATTCATGCCTAACAAAGCAAATCACTGCATGACACGCCTCATAGATATACAGAAATTGATGCTATGACTTCTGAGTGAGGTCAGCATTTTTTGTAAAATTTCTCAAAGTAAAAAAATTGTTTATAGCATAAAGGATCTGAGGGATTGCTGTAGCACTGTGATCTGTGTCTCTATATTTCTGTCCTCCCAGGCTACATACATGAGAGGGTCAGAATATTAGGATAATAAACGTATAATAAAATTTATACATTTATGACAATTTAACCAAAAACTGAAACATTTTGAGCTTCATAAACACAAATATTAAGGCAGAAGTGTTGCATTGTAGTGCATACAATTGTACAGGTGTACCTAATAAAGTGGCTGGTGAGTGTATATACAAGTACACATTAAGTATGTTTTGCAGTCACTAGTGAAATATACAGTTTGCTGATGACAAAGACAATCGATCTATGACTCGTCATTGGTCCTTAAGGGGTTTTTAACGTAGCGTGTAACTGCTTTACCATTAATTATTCTGATGTAGCTAGGCTGAAGGCAGAGAAAACAACGATAGAAACAAGAAGTTATAATTTCGTTCTGTTGTGACGCTCGGTTATTATGAGTTATTGAAGAGTTTGCTCTCATATGCATATTAATTATAATCAAAGGTATGGCGAATTAGACCACTGGAGAGGGCTTATGCAACTTATTTGTCAAACCAGCTGTAGCATCTGTTCTTCACTGATGACTCATAACTCATTCTAGGGAGGCTTAAAACAATTTCCATGTCAGAAGAAGTAACTGCAGATTTATTGGTTGGGTACCAGTTTCTAATTTATTTTTTCTAGTCTAATTAATGCATAAGATAATTTGCTGTCTTTGTATCTTTATGTGAAACCCACTTTTTCTATTGCTAAGAGTTAACAAACACACGCAGGGCACATCGTCAGTTGTTTTCACTTGTAGTCTTCTAAATCCTAAGGATGTGTATGTAATGGTGGTCACTGGTTTTGGGAATAAAGAAAAACAAAATCAGTTGTAAATTCCAAAGGTTTCTGATACGATCACAAAGCAGTTGGAGTCAAGAATAGTCATGATGAGACATTTATATATACTGTACATTGATACATAATTGTCATGTCACTCTTACATGTCACAAATAAATATGTCACTCTTCGTACACAGACCCATCAGTGCTTCTTTCTGTTGTTGTAATTGTATTTTAACACACACCTTTGTTGTGTCATCCTAATAACCTCTGATTCCTGTCTAATAGACCCTCTATCTTAACAAAGGCAATATTCGGTTAAATATTATGACTTAAAATCACATCTGAGAAAATAAAATTGCTTCTGAAATCATCCCTGAATTAATTTAGACAACATGACCTCACACCTTTAACACATGGAGATCCCAGACTGAGCGTATAATTTAACCGCTAACACTTTAGAAGAGTATATCTAGTAGATCTTTACCTGTTAATAACTGGTCTACCTCTAGGCTAATAAAACATGTGTAGACAGGTTTGATAAGGAACCATTTGTTCTTGTAGAACAGGGGTTTCTCAGCTAAAACAAACTGAAGTTTGTTTATCCTCTGTCAGTGTGAGCTGCTGCTGTATCACTCTCTGGCCAACAGATTGGAAAGACAATTTCAATTCATGTGATCATGTAATTTATAGAAAACTTTGTTTTCTGTGCAGCCATTACTACAAAGCTCTTTCATAATCCTTAGAGAATAATGAATCGAGTGCCAGTGACACACTCAACATGTAAAGCTCGGGTTCATCACTTTCTCTGCTGCAGCTTCTCCATCACGTGGTCACAGAATGAACTACAGGCACTGCCCAGTGGGTGCCATCAGTTCAGTGCTGACTTTCTCCTTATGATTTTGTATGAGTTACCTTATTTGTTTCTCCTTTCAAATTAAACTTACTATACTTGCCACTTTCAGTTAAAAATACTGTATCTGTGCTGTAACCTTCTCCTTTCTTTGTTTGTTTTATGCTTTATGCGGTATTTTTATATAGACTTGTTTCTTTTATATCATATCTTTTTTTGCCTTAATTTGTTTTAAGTCTCTTTGAATTGCTTTATTGTTGAGAGTTGCATTTGCCTCACCTTGTTCTGCCCCATTATGTCTGTAAATTAAAATTAGAAATGTCAAGTTTTAAAATCCTCCATTTTGTACACATGGAAGGTAAAGGTGAAATGAGTATTTAGAGCTTTGACATAAATGAAAGTAGCAGTAGTCTTACATTCAAGACCTTACTTAGGTAAAAGTACATAAGTATTATCTCCATAATTTACTCCTAGTAGCAACATTAAACAGATTTATGGAGATAAATGGCCTCTATGGTTACTGGATTATCGTTACTGATGTGTTAATGAGGAAATCAAACTACGGTTCAGCTTCACAAGTTTTCCTTGTATCTAAAGCAAGGTTAGTCAAACCAAGAGGAGAAACACATCACATAACTTCTTTGTTCAAAAACAGATCTCAGCTCTTTAACACCACAAATCAAAAACAATTTACTCTGAATATCTGGATCACAGAACTATAATGTTTTTATTTGGACGCAGGGGTTTTCGACATCCAGCAAAAGCATGGTGTACATTACATCACAGGGTTTCAACCAACCAGACACTCATCAACAAACAGCATCACTAGACAAACAGTTAAAGGTAAACAGCGTGACAGCAACTCACACTCCAACCCCACGGCAGTCTGCTATCTCACTGTGATGTTCTTTTTGATTAGTAAACTAATGTCAGCAGACAAACAGTGTTCTCCATTTTAGCATACATTACATGTGGGGAAAATGAGAGTGCGCCGAGTGCTATATAACCTCTACACGTAGAGGGTCCATATTAATCTGGCTGCTGCCAACAATACTGCAGTGCTTCATTGTTGGAAGAGAGGGAGCTAAATGACAAGAATTATGGCTCAAGCACAGCACAGGCAGTTCACAGGGTAAACAAAAAGATGACAGAAGTATTTTGAGATGATTCTCCTGAACTTTACCAGTAGATTGTGTATACAGTAGTTTTTATGTCTCCTATTCTTCAGAGATCACCCAAACACAAATGAGCAGTTCATGATGGAATTCAAGAGCAGAATATCTTTACACAATGTAGTCTTTGCTGTGGCTTATCAACTGAGTAGCACTAGAAAGTAAAAGATATAAAAGCAACATCAGTTTATAATAAACATGGCAACTTATACAACATTACAATTAAAAAAGCAAATATACAAGTCCAATAAAAATTTATGTTGTGCACAAAAGGCACTCAGATTTGTTCTGCTTCACTTACACAAGTGTCTATAAATTAAAAAAAAATAATCTAGTTAAATGTAATAATGATAATTTCACTCTTTGAAATTGTGTGCTTCCTTTGTATCTCAGTAAACATACAGTATGCTTTTTTTGTCATATAGTTTTCAACAGGTGCAAAACTGTGATGAGGACAGACAGTAAGAAGATGGATTAACCAGGTAATTAAGTTCTCAGCTCTGGATCACATTCACATTGACCATGTGGTGGTGATGGTGCCCACTGGTTCAGAACAAGATGCAATACCCAGCAGGAACCAGCAGAGGGTGTGAGTGCGCTGTATGACTTTAAATGCTGTATTGCCTTTTTCTGGCTGTAGGAACTCTCTCCCACCCTGAATATTAGTACCTGTATCTGTGACAAATAAGAACCAGACAATACATTGACAACAAGTGAATATTTTCAATTTACAGCATGTCTCAGTAACACTGCAGAATGTACAGAACAACTGCAGATTTAACATTGGAATCAGTGCCTGGCTAACATGCTAATATTCTCTTTTGCTCAATCAAGCATTGTTATTTCTCATTCACGTCTATTTTAGCAACTGGTACAAGCGGCTTATTTTATCATTTCCAACCCTCGTAAATGTTAAGGCCCGCTTCTTTAAAAAAAAAAAGTCCAATATTGGAATTATTTGTGCGTTTTTAGGCAAGGCACCACATACAGCCACTGTTTCACTGATATGAGTCAGATATTACAGCGCAAAACATGCAGAACAGAGCAGGCTCTTTGGGATGCGGATCACAAGGTCTCTGCACCAGAGCTGTCAGGATGACAGGAGGTACAGGTATAAACACTGAAACGTTCTTATTTAGTCTTCAACCAATGTAACAAGAAACAAAAAAACAAAATGTTAGACTGAAACTCTATCTATAAACAAAGATAAGAAAAGGGTAGAAGAAGGAAGGAAGGATGTCACAACACTGACTCTTGAGTTCCTTGTGATGAGGTTCACATCTTACACTTGAAAGAGGAACTGTCAAAGGGCATTTTTCAGTGTTACTTAAGAAAATCAAACTTCAACAGGAAACAGTTCAAGTTTTGCAAATTGTGTGGAAATGGGCAAAAGATAACGGAGAAAACATTTATTTAATCTCTGTGGTCTGTCCAACAGTCTTTTACAGTACAATTACATTGCATTCTAAGCACACAGTATAAGGTAGGTGATTTGAAATATATTTTATAGTCAAAGACGATGTGTTTTGTTTATTGGAAATGACAAATAAAAGTGTTTAATAATCTTTACAAATGCCAGTCACATCAACCCATTGCCTATTTGTAGTAGCCTGTACAAGATTAACACTTAAAAAATGACTAGCTATATATTATGTACAAGTTTACCACAGGATTCCAAAGGTAGTTGATGTGTTAGTTTTCTGTATTTCATGTGCACGACACAGAAGAGCATGGAAACAGCTCCATTGGTCTGCCTTCTGCACACGATCCTATGCAAAGTTCTGATTGTATTGTCTAAGATTTCAGAGATCATTCTTCATGCCAGGATGCTTTCATTTTCAGCACTGAATGGCACAGCAACAGACATGACATATTTAAACTTTAACACTGTAAGGTCATTATTTATTACTTTGTCAAATATTTGGAATCTGAAACTTTATTAATGTTGTATTAATGTAATAATATTTGTTGCCTACAATAACCATATGAGAACCCCTCTGCATCACTACAGATCACAGTGATACAGGGCTTTAATGTTTCCTTTATTTTCTCCAAACCCTGCATTCCGGGTTATATAATGCCACTGTATTGTTACCTTGCTGAACATCCACTGACCTGTAAAACATACAGAAAGAATGGCAATTTCAAGTAAGCTTGTATGTGCAGCCATAAGGCCTGTGCCCTAAATGATAAACAGATATGGCATTTTAGCCTGAACGTCACATCTATACCAGTCCATGAGGTGTTTTCATACACATCAGCAGAGTGACTGAAACATCAAATGGACTGTGTGTGCTGGATAGGAACTAATACCAAATTTCACACACATATTGCTTCACTTGCATTCAGTGTATCTCTGAAACAAGAACATGGCCATAGGTTTTTGTTGAAATTAAGGTAAAACTAAAATACATATTCTTAAATTGGAGTTCTATCAAGTATCAAAAAGAGCTCAGCTTTATGCAGTCACACCTCTACAGCTTTTTTCCACCGCCTTATCACCATGGTAACATACTGCAAGCCTGCTTCAGGAACATCCTGAATATATGATTTAAATTAGGGAGAAAACAGAGTGGGAAATATCCAGATCTGCTTGTCACACATTAGTACCCATTTCCATAAGCTTTTCCCTCATTAGGAAAGCATTACAGCCTTCACACCTAGTGGATTCCACCTTTGCTACATGGTACCAGACTTTTCCCCAGCATCACCGGATGTATTCATATTAGAACCAGCAGATGAACTGTTACTTGGAAACATCTTCTCAGTGGGAGTTACAGCTGGACTGCCGACCCCTGATGAGCTAGAGCTGCTTGAGCGGTGCTGTGCCGGAGGAGGGCGTACGGGCCTCATGGGCGGGGGGCGGAGCTGAGCCCCGACCAGCCTGGCGGAGAGAGTGGGTTTGAAGGTGGTCATCATCTCAGAGGTGGAGCTGCTGCTGCGGCGCATGGCTGCGTCCGGGTCACGAATCATAATGGTATGCAGCGGGCTTCCAGGCTCAGAGCTCACCGGGTTCTTCATGGGTTCTAGGGTGTCCAAGACTACATCAGGGGCCTGCTTAACGGTGTTCTGTCGCTCCAGCTCATGCAGCTCATGGAGCGCTGTGGTCATAGTCTTCTCTATGTCCTAGTAGACATATAGCAAAGGTGGGAAGAACAGAGCAGAGTTTGTCACACAGTGATACAATAACATTCAAAAATGATACTTAACAGTCTGCTACCTCATTTTCATATGGATCAATACCTGATACCAGTGGTGGAAAGTAATAAAGTACATTTAGTCAAGTGTTGTACTTAAATACAATTTGGAGGTATATGTACTTTACTTAAGTATTTTGATTTTGTGCTACTTTATACTTAAACCTCACTACATTTTAAAGGCAAATAATGTACCTTTTACTCCATTACATTTATTTTACTAGTTACTTTTCAGAACCAGATGAATACAAAAAGTACAGTATAATCATTAGACTTTATTGATCTCGGGTGGAAAATTCACAGCCTCCCCAGTTGTGATTCAAATTATAAGCTTATACTGTATGATAGTTAAAACTAGCTCCTTCTTTACCCACAACAACATTAACTGTGATATCCACAGTGATGCATCACTAATTAGAATTGTATCATATGATGTACATCAATGTTAAATGTGTCATTCTGCATAATGATTACTTTTATTTTTAGTACTTTAAGCATGTTTTGATGCTAATGCATTGTACTTTTACTTAAGTAAGGGATCTGGGAACTTCTTCCACCACTGCATGGAATGATGTATACAAAATGCATTCAAATTTTGTAAATACTACAGCATGGTTTACAGAGTGGTTAGCTGTGATCTGTGTAATACGGAATAAATGGGCTAAACAAGTTAAACCCCTTCTATCATCTTTTATGTTATTCTCTTGGGTTACTTTATTAGTTTTTCAAAACCCTTCAGTTATGAATTACTGAGATTTAAGATTAACTGAAATGTGTGTTTGTTTACACACAGCGTGACACTTCATTAAGTATAATGCAGATAATTTTGAAATGAGTGATAAAATGAAATTAATACTTTAATCAAGTTCAAACTGGACATTTTGCCTGACTGTGTTTCAGCCTAATGGCTGCAGCCATTAGATAAAGGAGAGAATTTGCAGCAGAACCTTTAGTGCCTTTTTCTTTTGCTTGTTATTCAGTTCCAGGTCTCCATGTCCTCGAGGTGTATCTATCTCCCAGCTGCAGTCCAGCCCTGACATTTACTTCAGGTTCCAGCTGCTGATCTGGGACTGACAGCTACAGGAGGGGGCCTAGCTCTGTTCTTCCAAACATACCCAATCATCTTATATGCTGGAAATGTCTGAAACGTCATATTGTGTCTGCTAATGACAGCACACCACACTGAAATACCCAAACAAATGATACCAAAGTGATGCATTCTTTTTCTTGATATCATTGTTGCACCATTCATACTTAAATCATCCTTGACATAAGAGTAGAGCTTATTATTATTGTTTCCTATTACTCATTAATAATTATATAGTCATATTCTAAAATAATGACAAACTGGTGTAGAGTAAACTCCAAGTAACACAAATTCAAAAGGCTATCATGAGCAAAAATATTAAAATAGTTGATGACAAAATGCTACCTCAGCCAGAGCATCTGTCTCCAGTGATTTGTGGTCCCCGAGGCTGCTGTGACGAGTTGCCCCTGGCATGGGTCTCAGCGGGTGGCCTTCAGGATAGGCCTTCCTGTCTGGGTAGTTGATGCTTCCCGCGCTGCCAAAGGTACCAAGGCGCCTCTTTTCCGGGCTCTCTATACGACCCTTGCTTATGGATACCTTATGGGGGCTGCTGGGGCAGGCTGCAGCTCGTGGTGGCGTGTCAGCTGCTCTGGTAGGACTTTGGGTGTCCATGCCACTCCGGTGACGAGGGATTGCAGCTCCATCGGACCGCAACCTTACCCTGTGAAGAGGGACCAAGTCAGACCAACAAGCAGAAAGGCTCCTCAATATTATAATTGTTTTAATCAAGGAGGGTAATTATTCTTAATTGTATCCACCTCCCCATGACTCCTCCGAAGCTGTAATCAGGTGACTGTTCACATGGTGATGGTGTCTCATTTTTGGATGAACCCTTATCATCCAGCAGTGGTCCACTGCTCGCCTCACTATCTGCTTTCTGGCTAAGATTATCTGAGAAAGCATCATCCCTAAAACAAAACAGGAACTGGTGGTGAGCATGTAAGCCTACACATACAATAATTTATGAAACATTGAGTGTAACTGACTTACATTTATTTATCCAGCATATTATTATGTATTGTAATACTGTCAGCCTCACTGATTTGTAAGATAAGTAGACCAAGGGATTAAACTCAAAAATCATTCAGAGAATTAAACAACAGCTACTTAAACACATTCTGCTGTTACTCACAGGTCTTGTACTACAATGTACTGATGTGGGATGAGGCCATCCACGCCGTTATGACGCCCCTCCCACCAGTCTTCAGATGCTCGGTGATAGAGAAGAAGAGAAGCTCCCTTTTTGAAAGACAGCTCCCTTGGACTGCGTCCCACATAGTCAAACTTGGCAATGGCCTCAATCAGTTCAACCTCTAGCAGACAAAAAGGGAAAAGAATCAACAAAGCGGAGGAAGAGAAGGAGGGGATAGTGCTTGAGTTTGTTTTGTCTCTCAAGGATGCTAAAGAGGACCATTGTTGTTAGAGAGAATAAGGTTGAAAAGCATTTTTGTCAAATTTGGTTTTAGTTGTCACAAAAAATAAAGTAACTCTCACCACAGCATGGCAGAGTCATGTTCACAAATTACAACATCAGCTTGTTTTTCTTCCATGAAAGCTGAACTATTTCCAGAGGACACGAACTAAACTGAGTACAGAAACAGCACTGCAGCAGAGTTTTAATGTCACATAAGACTCTCAGCATTGAGGCCAGGAAAAGCAGAGCCTACAGCAGGTAATCAGCCTTTGTTCTCTTTTCTCAGTACGAGCAAGAAAAGAAAGAAAGGGTCTGTGATTCTGATGAATTCAGCCAAAAGTACAGAAGGAGCTATGAGATAGGGTTACTCAAGTCTGACCCAGCATACTCCAAACTTCATAGATCTGTGTGATAACTCCTCACTGGCGGCACAGGAGATATTATTTTGTGTATTACACTTGTTTTGTCTTTTGTGCCGAGCCAAGTTGCATATTCAAAGCTCAGAGGATAAATGAGGAAACACTGCACAAAGGAGAAAGTCCCAAGGGATGTGCTGACTAATGCTGAACAAAGAGCAAACAGAACAAGAGGAGATACTCACTTCCACACACACACACACACACACACACACACACACACACAAATATCAAAGAGGCAGCATTACATGCCAGCACTGTTTACTCAACTTGCCTTCAGCTTCAAACATCACATAAGCCTTTGCGATCTTAAGCGGTTGCAGCACAAACTGTTCTCACCTCTCAGTCAAATGCACTTAAAAGGGGGTCAGTCTCTACTTAAGTCTTTCTCATCCACAAAGACTTCTAAAATCCCATTGTACATATCTCAGTTGAAGTCCATACTATTTGCCAAGATGAGAATTAGATTTTCTATGTGTCTCCTCAAACAGACAGGCAGTATCATCTATCAATAACATTAATTCATGTTGGTTTCTATTGTAAAAACTGTACAAATGCAATTTTCTTTGCCAAATTGTTTGTGACAATTTCAAAAGTTTTCTAATTGTATATTAATGGCGAGAATAGTGATAACTTTTATTTCTAGCTCTTCTAGATCTTGACTAAAGTGCACACAGACAATATCCACAGTTCACACACTAACATTAAATGAGGTAATTCAGGTAAAGTGGCTTGTGTGAGTCTACAGCCATGCTAGCAGTCCAGTTAAGCTAGTGGCTTCAGCTAAATGCTAAAATCAGCAGACTAACATGTTCACAGTAGCAACGCTACTATGTCATGTTCACTGACATGTTACCATTTACTAATTAGCACTAAACCCAAAGTAAAGCTAAAGAGGCTACTGGGTTTCTGAGGACCATGAAGGTCTGTACCAAGTTTTATGGCAGTGAGTTGTTGAAATATTTCAGTCTGGACCACAGTGACGGACCAACTGCTGCTAGCATAGTTAAGACATAAAACACTGATGATAACAAAGCGTCTTTCTTTAAAAAAAAAAAAAGATGAAAAATCACTGCTGTTATGGACAGACCTTCATCACTAGTATGTGGTTCAGTTCCATTGTCGGGCTCATCAATAGTTCCTGGTTCACTGTGAGGGCTGTCACTGCAGGAGCAAAAAGAAAGGGTCAATTATATGTAGACACTGGAGGAAGACAGATATTTGGTTTATGCACATTAAGCATGATTACCAGGTGATTAGCTGATAAAATATCAGTTCTCTTGTAAACAAATCAGAGTTGATATATTCTCAACATACATTAACAGTCCTTTGCTTGTATGTTTACAACCTGCTGAGTACTCACCAGTACTCCTCCCCTCCAGTCATGCACTTTTCATACACTGGGCCATCCAGCTCACGCTGACTGGGAAAGATGACTTCATTATGGATGATGATGGTCTTGATGACCTCATTGACGTGCGCCTGACACGCTACGGGATCCTGGCCATCTGGGATGGGCATCAGTGTTGGACCAAAGCAGATGGCCAAATTGTATGGATCCATCATGTTCTCGTCACTGTACTGGGAGAGACTGAGAGACAGGACATCACTGTGCATTTTTCCTGCGTATTGTGTGTAATAAAACATCTATTAATCAGTTTGAGAGTGACAAAGCTACAGCTACCGATCACAGTTTTGACAAAAGGTATTGCATGCTTCATTGTGCAGCTTAGTTGGATATTTGCTTAGAAAACACAACAAATGACACAACCCACACTTGGTAACCGAATCACTCAGAGCTGAAAGAGGAAGTCAAAGTCAATCTTTGCAAATGATATATAAGCTCAGGCTGAGCAGTAAAGTCACAGCTGAAACAGCTCTAAAAATGAAGGGGTATAGGAGAATAGAGTAGAACCTGGGATACAAAATCACTCTTTGTTCTGCAGGCAAACCCAGTAAAAGAGGATTAATAACTGCCATTACCAGAGGACAGGTATACTACTTCAGTGAGGCATCCATTTACAAGCCTGAAAATAAATTCTAAAATGCTGTGGACACATATATCAATAAATAGCATGTTGTTTCTTTTATGCATTTTCTTGTCTTGTCTCTTCACCTGACTGTGGCTATTCTGTGTTTGACTGATATGTTCAACATGGATTTGACCAATAAGGATCACATTTACATGTCAGGTAAGGTGTAGGATTCAATGGCATCACCTCTCTGGTGATTATGGAGAGAACTAATTAATTTTCCTAGACTTAGCTGTAATGAGTGCTATGAGGTGTAATGAGAACCAGTACAAACTCACTGATTGAGAAAAGCAAACAGGTATCTCATGACGATTATGATGGTCCGAGGAAGCGTCACAATAATCTGTTGAAGGTGATGTGCTCTCTCAGCTCCAGACTCCAGCTCTGAAACACAGAGAACACAGAGCATAACAATAATGATTTACAGTGTGATAAACAGGAAACAAATAGCTTTGAAACGTTTACATATACAGTATGTGCATTGATCATAAACCAATCAGCCATAACATTATGACCACCTGCCTAATACTGTACACAGAGTCGGTGCAGCAGTTGATTGGCACTCGTGTCACTCTGCAGCTCACTGTGCATCTTCTGTGAATCAGTTTGCTTCTATAGTTACACTGTCAGGAAGAGCACAAATGTGTCGACCATTCAGTGAAAAACATATAAAAGGAGTGAAAACTGTGGTCGTGAGGACAAGTTAGAGAGAACTGTTTAGACACATTCAACAGCCTCAACACTCTAGGTGTGATATATCACCACTATAGCTGCTGAATGTTTCTCTTCATAGAGACCAAAGTACAGTATTTCTCATTTTCAACCATTTTAACAAAGATTCAAACAAAATGGAACCTTTTGAAAAGGATGAATGACTTTTAAAAGTTTAATCTACAGTAGGTCAACCTCATCATCAGTGAACCTTGGGCGTCCATGACCCTGTGGTTGATTCACTGTCTGTCCTTCCTTAGACACTGTTGGTAGGTACTAACCACTGCAGACCAAGAACACCCACCAAGACCTGCAGTGTGGGAGATGCTCTGACCCAGTCATCTCACCATCACAGTTTGGGCCTTGTCAGAGTCACTCAGATTTTTACACTTGCCTGTTTTTCCTGCTTCCATCACATCAACTTTGAGGACTTGAATGTTCACTTGCTGCCTAATATACCCCACACACTGACACTGTAACAAGATAATCACTTCACCTGTCAGTGGTCATAATGTTATGGCTGATTGGTATATACTGACAGTATAAACTCTAGCATTAAAGACTGATCAAAGTGAGATCCGGGTCTGAAGCAAAGGCAGACAAGACTCTGAAAACACTTTAATAGACACCCCCTCTTACCTTTCACTAGACCTCTAAGGCAAACTGAATGATCAAACTATTAGAAACAGAGGGGAAATGATTATGTGGTGAACATGTGCATGTGACCCACACTCTCTACTGGCTTTCTGGTAAATATTAGGACATACTGCTTCCATGTGCTGCACCGCATGCCTTCCTCTTCTTCAGTAAAGCAGAGTTACTAAGAAACTGCAAGGTGCATTTTCACTCTTCTATTTGACCAGTCCACTCATTACTGTGCTTTCTTTGAATGTTTTCTGTTGTGTGTGACTCACTGATAGTAGAAATGAAGTCCAGGAACCGTTCCTTTGGGAAGAGAGGGTTTTCCAGTCCTCTGAAATACAGCTTCAGCACCCCTGCCACTGAGTTAATATCATGCTCATTTTGGTCATCAGTCAAGGGATCTTCACCTGATTAAGAAAAACGTGCGCTTTCAGTGCTTTGAATACATTTGTTAAATGGGTTTATTCTGTTTAAGTATCTGTGACATGAAAACAGGAAACATGATGCCTCCTGTGTCTGACTCACCCCTCTCAAATGAGTTTTTAATATCATTGACCTCCACCTGTGATCCCGGTACACGGAATATGCCTTGCTGCTGCAACCCTGCAAGAAATACAAGGCAGAATTTATACATTCAGAGTTATGTTAGCTCCAAACCCCAGTGCCAACTTCATGAAAGCCCATTGGAAACATAACACAGAGTGGAAAATGTAATCTAGTCATAAAGAGAGATATATATTTTCCAGGAGAGGGCCCCTCAGTTTGGCTGCAGCATATGGCTTCAGTTAGATGGCTCCTAATCAATTTTCTGGAGTTTCATTAGGTCCAGATCCAAGGTAAAGACCTGTAGGCTAAAGCAATGAGCTGAAGACAGATGTAAAGGTAGAGAGGGAGGAGTTATCAAGATGTTTGAGGGGGGCAACTGAACTGAACACAAAGAGACCAGTGGGACTTTCAAAACTCCCTTTGTGTGATCTATTGTTATATGTTTGTTGTCAAAATATCTGGCAGACAGCTAAGCACCTCAGGGACCGAGGTGAAGAGCAGAGCAGGTCAGTTGCTGTACCTGCAGCTATTTGTGGAAATGGACCTCCCTGTCCAATAGCTGCTGTCACCTCTAATGAGGCTGAAGGAGTTTCCAACGGCTTTTTCTTTCCTGTCATTCAAAAGTAGCGGTCACAGCAACTTGATATGAGACTTACCGTATAGATTGATGTATCTGATACAGCTTTCGACAACAAGTGGAATTGGTTGACCTGAATCCTGAAATAAAATAATGTGAAACATAGATGCAAAAAAGTAGTAACATTAAATAAAACGTGACCCTGCATGTTACTTTTACAATATATTGCTATTAATTATACAGTGACTTGAAAAGGTATCAAACATGCAGCATTATAGTAACTTTGGAATATGTACACATAACATATCCCCTGTTCTAGTTTGTATTAACCAAAGAGACACAATATGGAATCAGTCTAATGCCTCCCAACATTAAAAAAACTAAACCAGACAATCTAATATCTGGTTCTTATGGCTCATAAAGATTTTGCTGAGTAAATCTCATGACAAGTATAAAACAAACAAATGAATGCCACAGAATAGTGACAGGAAAATAGCAAGTGAATGAAGCAGTAGGAAGTAAATTACTACTATTGGTTGAGTAGTCTTAGTTTGTCATGCACCCTGAACTACACTCTCTAACAAGAGAGGTACCTGGATGCGGGTACGAGCATTCCTTCTTCCTCTGGCACAGAAAGCAGCAAAGCACAGAGAAGCGGGTGAAGAGAGAGCAGAGAAGCCAAAGTTAGAAAGTTCAGATGATGAATGAACCCTCTGGAGGTTAAAGAAGGCTAAGCACAGGGACTGGATATTGGAAAGTTATGGAGATGTAAAGGACCGGGTGCAGTGCGGGACAAAGCAGACCCACTGCTGTTTCCTGCTTCCTGCTTTTCATTCATTCAAAATGTGACTGCATTTAGAAATAAAATCAGAGATGATGAATTGTTCTGGAGGGGATTGAAGAGACAGCTGACTGAAGCTCTGTCTGTCTGCACTGGCAGAACCACAGAAGGGAGGAAGAGGATTAGAGGTTAAACAGAGGCGTTATATCATGATCAAGGGCAGCTGGAAGAGGGAGGAACACGAGGCCAAAGTGAAGAAAAGAATGAGAGCGAAGGCTTTAACTGCCTTCCTCTCCTACTCCACAGGGGCTGCTCATATAGGAGGTACCTCGATGAAGGTCTCCATGTTGCCATTAAACAGCTTATGGTTAAACATGGAACGTGGCCTAGGCTTCCGCATTTTCTGTGGTTTAGGGGGAAGGATGGGGGGCCTGGGAAGTGATGGACAAAGGAACAAAAACATCATATTCTGTGAAACTGTAGAACCAAATGAGGCTCAAAAACAGGCATGAAAAACAGTCGCTAAAACAAAGCAATGAAAAATGTTTCAGTTTTGGAAAAGTAAGATAAAGTTAAGAAACTTCATTTAAAAGTTGAGAAAAACCTGAAATGAAACATTATCACTAAAAACACAGCCTGGATGGATGAATGATGAAGACAAGATTAATAAAACAAATGTCACCAGGTGATATATTATGTTGCTCATAACAGTCAATCCGTGCACACAAAATAGTCATGCAAGGCACGTGAACCCAGCTGAATTCTTCTGTTGAAATACAGCTACATGTTCGCTATGTCATTCAAATGTGTTAACCAACATGGTTAAGTCCTGCACGTACTCAAAAACAGACACATGCAAGCACAACTTGCTTTGACAAGTTCAGTGAAATGCAGCTAAAGGATATTTAAATATTTATGATAATCCTTTTTGAAAGAAGACATAGTAACAATATAATGAAGAAGATTGACTGTGATTGAGAACAGCAACTGCAAAACTACAATACACCAATCAGCCATAACATTAGGACCACTGACAAACATTGACTATCTCATTACAGTAGCACCTGTCAGTGTGTGGGGTATACCCCAAACTGTGATGGTGAGATGACTGGATCAGAGCATCTCCCACACTGCAGGTCTTGGTGGGTGTTCTTGGTCTGCAGTGGTTAGTACCTACCAACAATGTCTAAGGAAGGATAGACAGTGAATCAACCACAGGGTCATGGACACCCAAGGTTCACTGATGATGAGGTTGATCTACCGTAAATTAAACTTTTAAAAGTCATTCATCCTTTTCAAAAGGTTCCATTTTGTTTGAGTCTTTGTTAAAATGGTTGAAAATGAGAAATACTGTACTTTGGTCTCTATGAAGAGAAACATTCAGCAGCTATAGTGGTGATATATCACACCTAGAGTGTTGAGGTTGTTGAATGTGTCTAAACAGTTCTCTCTAACTTGTCCTCACGACCACAGTTTTCACTCCTTTTATATGTTTTTCACTGAATGGTCGACACATTTGTGCTCTTCCTGACAGTGTAACTATAGAAGCAAACTGATTCACAGAAGATGCACAATGAGCTGCAGAGTGACACGAGTGCCAACCAACTGCCGCACTGACTCTGTGTGCAGGTGGTCATAATGTTATGGTTGATTGGTGTATTCAGTATGTATGTGTGTAGACAGAGAGGCAGACAAAGGTAGATGGACAAATACATATATAGATATAGATATAGAATTTTGTTTTTTATTATGAATTTGTTTCTGTTTGGTTGTTCCAACAGCTACTGATGTGCTTTTGTCTTCTCTTTTCAACAATGTAATTAAATATTTTAAAGCTATGGAATGAACAGAATAAGCATATGCTTCACAGCTGAAGGGAGAGATCACAAATATCACACTTATCAAAGGATGATCTTACCTTGTAGTTCCACACTCAGCCCTTTCCCCTGCAGAAAAAAAGACACAAGAGGGACATGTATGTATGTCTTTATTATACAGACTCCAGTCAGTGTGCAGTCTCAGTGAGAGGTTTGACTAGAGACAACATGACTATTGAGGGACAGATGAATGGAGCAGCGCTGCCACCATTCACTGGAAAACACTATTGAGCTGTAACCGCTGAAACCTCAGGGGACCCAAAGGACCCTGTGGGGTTACTGGCCCCCTCTCAGAGCAAAGAAAAGGGGCTGATGGCTGCAGTGTGTGTTGTTGGGGAGGAGGGGTCCAACTGTCCATCACTGAGCAATGTCTGTGCTGGCTCACTGAGTCTGTTGTTATGGGTGGTCACCAACACATGCACATGTTATAGGCATATACACTAACACATTCAGCAAAGTCAGCATCAAACCCACACTCTATCTGACTACGCCACACATGTCCTAAAACAGAATACAACAAATTTGTAAATGAAGTCAATTCAAAGATGAGCCGGTTCTTCTTTATGAAGGTACTAGTGACTGGATTATCAACTGGAAAGGAGACAATGCACAAAAGCAACAATGGCACCAAAGCATTCCAAAACAATTTCTTTACTCCACTTAACAATGGACAGAAAGTGCAAAGGCTAACCCATTTGTCAACACGTCATTCTGGCAGATGGGATGGAGTCTCTGGAGCATTCATGTGAAGAAACAACAGCACATTTCCCAGACATTATTCTTCTGAGTGAAAGCTCTGTCTACCTCTGACTAACCAACCTCAAAATTACACTGAGTTTCTCAGGTACAAGCACTAAAGTCAATTTTATATCCAAAAACACCACAGTCCCACAGCGATAGAGGATGATTCTATAAACACAATCGGTAACATGAACCAAATCAAATTCACTGAACAAGGAAACTGGTGACCCCTTATCTGGAAAACAGGGGCTGGCAGACATCCCAGCACGATCTTGTCTGGTGCCAAAGCTTGACATTATGGTTTTATTTATTTATTTATTTATTTTACAGGCAGCAAGATGTAAACACCATGTGGCACTCACCAGTCTCATCTTATTCATTCTGTCATGCTCACACAACCATGCACATGCATAAACATGCTATTTTAAGTGTGAAGCGATGAGCTAATGAGTACGACTCTGCCCTGATTGATCACCCGAATAATTAAACATGGATGGCGGTACCTGGAGACACCATATGTCTTTTTCATGCACTCTCTCAGCTGCTCTACCATGGACATCCAAACTATAATGTGAGTGTCTGAGTGTCACAGCATGCAGTTAGTGTTTGCACAGCTTCTTAGGAAACACAGGAACACCTTGAGAGCTTTAAACCTTCACAAATTAACAAATCAAGGAAAGCCTGAATGAATGAATCCAAGATGTGAAATTTGGAAATATGCATGTGTGTTGCAAGAGCTCAGCTGCCTCTGCCTGATGGCCTTTTCTATTAGGTGAACCCCTGATGCAGGAGCAGCTGCAGAAATGGGCCTGGTCCTGCTGATTGATTGGGTGTAAACTGTTCACGGCTGAGGTGACAAAGGGACCCCTGGGGAAGGGAGGGGCAGAGGGAAGTCTTTTTCTAGCAGCATGGAAATAGAAACACTCCCTGCAGCAGCACCATATAGAGACTAACCAGACAATGCTTACATCAAATGGAGATCATTAGAAATAGAAGTAAATGTGGTCTGCCTTTGGTCTGATAGTTTTCCATTTGAATATCAACTCTCATCTAATTTTTCTTTCCTGCTCTCCCACAAAATCTATGTGTTTGCAGTTCCTACTTGTTATAGATAAGACCTGCACCACTATAACCCTGAAGGCAGTGATTTTGTAGAGCTGTGGCAGGATTCTGTCGGTCATAATTACAAAACAAAACACTGGCCTAGAAGCACCGTTAAAAGACACTAGAGATGCTAAAGAGAAATGAAAAGACTCCTTACCTTCACCCAGTGCCTGCTTCAGTAAGTCATGCTTGGCCTGAAGCTTAATAATGAGGTTACTGCCATTCAGGTACTCCTTGAATTTCTAGGCAGACAGAGCAAGCAATGAGCAAAGAGCAGCACTAATTTGGTTTAACACGAGCCCAGTCGAACAATTCGGTGTCGTTCAAATCAGCATAAATCCAATCTGTTCTAGTTTTAATTTAATTTCAATTTTCCCAGCATGTGGAAATGATGACTGATAGCTTAATTTTGAAACACTTCAAAGCTAAAGTTCATAGCAAGTAGGCCAGCAGCTATTAACAGTTTCGACTGATCACAATCAACACGAACTCACTGAAAAGTAGAACATTTCAGTCTCCTGTTGGTTTGCCCTCCTCTTGGCCACATTTAGCTTGCTCATGTAGGACTCAGAGGCCACAGACTTAATGGATTCAGTGGAGCGGCTATGTTGGAAGGCGTCCGACACGTCAAAGTCCTCCACTGTCAGCATATCCTGCAGCGTTTGCATGGTGGCATCCAAGGTCTTTCTCACCTGCACAGATGGGGTGAAATATAGAAAGGAAAAAAGACGACAAATGAAGCATCATATCTTGCTCAATCTTGCTTATATTTTCTGTTTCATCAGAGGTAAGGCTATTTTTCCAAGCCTTGAGCAGAAGTAACTGATGACATTGTCAAGGACAAGTGGGAGTAATTTAGAGCCTTAGCATATTTATATCAAAGACAAATTGGCCACAGAACAATAAATGACCTTGGATTGCACAAGCTTGAAAATGAAAGTCCAGAACAACCTGCAGGTCAGACATGCATCAGACTAAGAGCTGACAATGAAGGGTGTCTGGCAAACATACAAACTATATGTGAAATTACTGAAGAAGGCTTTTTGTTTAGGGCTGAGACTGATAAAGCTCATTTGCAGTAATGGCATGGCTCCTCTATTATCCCCCAGAATACACAACAGAGGGAGACAAGCAAGAGAGAAAGTCACTGGTGCAGGAAAGTCTAACAGACCTTGGTTATTACTGCTTCCATTTGCACCATTGTGAGGAAAAAGCTTTCTCTTCATTATAAAATAGACTATTTCATACATAATTTAATAGGAAAAACACAACTTTGAAACTGTAACAACCTAAATATATTCTCAGCTCCTGCAGGGCAAGGGTCATTGGAGAGTAATTGTTATGACAGCAGATGGTGATGTGGCCCCTCTGCTTGGCTTTGGGGAAAATTAGATAAGGCTTTCTGTTTTCAGGAAGTGGAGCGGAAGGTTTGGGGCAGTGAGGGAAAGGAGGGGATGGGGGATGGCGCTGGACTGACACAGAGCCATCATAAATCCTCACCTCTTCATTCTCAATCTTTAGCGTGGCCAAGCGTGACTGCAATTGGTGGTATCGCATCAGAAGTTCAGTCTGGACAGGCTGCTGGGCACTCACCTGGCACACCTGAGGGAGAGAAAGCGTACAGGTGGGTTAGATGAGACAAAATAGACCCAGCTGAGGCTTTGAATTACTTAATATAAAAAAAAAAAGTCATTCACAGGAGGTAATGTTTAAAACACCTACCTCATCTCCCATGTGTGGCAGGTACTCGAAGCGCATTGGAGGACAGAACACCTGGTTATGCATATCCATGATTTTGTGCTTGTCACTGCGAGAGTCCAGGTTGTCCACTGCATTCTCTATGACATCCAGTCCCTCATGGCGTGATGTCTCCAAGTTGTACTCAGCAGACAAGTAGGTCCTGAAGGTGCGTGCCAAGCTAGCATGGTAACCCAGGTCACAGCACTGTGGAGATAAAGTATATTAGGGAAAAACATGGAGATGAAGAACAAAATGGAAATTAGAGAAAATACTGTATGTGTTCTTAAATAATTACAACCAACTTAACTTGGCTGAAAAACCACGTTTCACTGCCCCTTCTGGTTAAATGTTTCAAGTTAGTTTCACTTCTGCTCGGTGTGGTTGCATGTGGTCAGAAGTGTGTTCTGCTGCACCCGAAATTTACCAGGAGATGTGTAAAAGAATTGGAAAGTGCAAATCTGGGTTATGGGGTCTGTGTACCTCTGTCTGTGTACAGACCTAGTTCATGGACCAAGTTACATGCAGGTTATCTTTCACAAATAGAAGTTGAGTTCTGAGAATTACAGGAGCTAGCACAGTAGGACACCAAGGATAATTAGAGAGCCTTATCATGCTGAGCGGTATGAAGTAACCTAATTAAACAGCGGAGGAAGAGGTTTAGACGGTGGCTTGAGGCAACTGACAGCTTTGTAAATCACTAAATAAATGCTCTTTAGTGCACTTTAGCACTGAAGAACCAGTATCTCTATTTTGGTGCACAAGCCTCACTGCACTACTCAGAAAATTAGCTTTTTTTAACAAGCAAACAGAGTGAGAACATGTTCATATGTGCAGCAGTAGCCTGAAGGAGCAGAAAGATCAGATGCAAGCTTCAATCCAAATGTTGTCATGACTACTTTGCTTGTAATAATCTCATCTTTCTCTTTAGAGCTGTGCAAACATAATGTAGGTTTACACACACTATATTTATATTATATGGAAATATTTTTCATATTTTACATTCATTTCATTTTCATATGTTTGTGTTTACAATTCTCCACTTAACTTACAGCAATTATACATTTCTTGATACATTCTGTTTATATTATAGAAACCTCATTTAAACTATGCTTTATCATGTTTGACCTGAGAAATGGGATTTGTCCCTGTGGCTAATATACTGCCATTTGGCGGTCTGGCCTAAAGCAAAACTTTGACATTGGGCCATTGGCACAGAGATAAGGGGGGGACTGAAGGGCTGGGTTTAATCACACTGACTAAAAGTGAAGCTTTTGGGTGTCCTATCAACTGCCACAAAGCATGCAAACTCAAATAACCTTGTGGAGAATGATGCTTGGTTGTTACTCCTTATTAATTAATACAGTTTGCAAGATCATGTCTCTAATCTACACTGTCTGAGTACAACTTGGAGACTGGGGAGGCTGTGGCTCACGAGGTAGGGCAGTCGTCTCCTGACCAGCAAGTTGGTGGTTTGACTCCCAGTCTCCCTGCATGCCTAAGTGTCCCTGAGCAAGACACTGAACCCTGAATTGCTCCCGGTGGCTTGACTAGCAGCATTGTGTGCAGCCTGTTGTCATCGGTGTGTGAATGGGTGAATGGTGTATCATCTCCTGTAAAGCGCTTTGACCAGTGCTGTGGAAAAATGTGCTATATAAATACAGTCCATTTACTGACTACAATAATGGCAGTGCACTACTTCTGAAACCCAAAATCTTCAATGAAGTTGAGGAACAAAACTCCAGAGATCTTGTTTGGGAGGTCAATGGAAAAAAATTTAATGGTTCAAATTGGGGAAGCTCTTTGTGTTGACTGTGTCTATGATGCATAATGGAATAGTGGAACTGAGAGGAAAATGACAAATCATACAATGAAATATTAGTGAATAATTGAACCTAACGTAAAGTCTGACCTCCCTAAAGAGGAAGCTGTATGCATGCATAGAGAAACAGAAGGTTTCCAGTGATATGGTGTAAAATGGTTTTCTTCATCTTAATCTTCATCTGTTTGTCTGTAGGGTGACTGATAGCAGGTCACCTAGGGCTGAGAACACAGTGCCAACCACATTAACCAGACTCACACCTGCATAAATAGAGCCTGCACTCACCAGTCAACTTCCAGCCATTAGTGGTTTGCTAAACAAATCATCCTTTTAAACACAGTTTCCAGAGGCAATACCAGTTCATAATTTGAATAACACTGACTTCATATTAAATTAAAGGAATATTATAAATTGAGCTTGTGTAGTACGTTAGTAGTACATTTTAATACAGAAGTCTGTATGATGACAAATACTTTTATTGGGTACAGCAGAGCAGCTTGGAAACAAACAGCTAACAGGCTGAGAGTGAATGATATGCAGGAACAGATGGTGACAAATGCGACAGGGCTGCAGAGTTAAATCAATATCAGAAATCCCAGCTGAGAGATGTAAACAAACACATGTGCCTAGTGCATACTTACATCGATCATATCAGAGACATCATGGATGTAATATTTTGCCACAACTGCATTTGTTGCTGCCAGGTTCAACAAATAGTCATTCCGAGCTTTTGTGCATTTCAGTTTATTCTCCGAGTACTTGGCTTGCCTCTGGGGAGGACAGAAGAGAGAGAAAAGATGAAAAACAAAACATCGGTGTAGGAAAATCCAGCAGCTGCGGCTTTGAGATCATCGGACAGGTAAAGACGGCAGGGAAAGTTTAGAGAAACTGCCTCTAGAGAGTTATGTGTTATATGGCACAGCCAGGCTTGCATGTAGTCATTTTTCTGTCTCAGCACTCAAGTACCAGAGGCTGCAGAGTGTGGATGTTGACGGCAAAACATTGAAAACTGTTGTGTAATTTTAAAGTTTGTTAATTTTGTTACTGTATAAAAATGTATGCAGTGTTAAATATTAAAAAAATAATGTGACATTTTGGGAAATACACCTATCTGCTGCGAAAATTGATGCCACTATCATGTCTGTGTGATAAATATAAAGTTCCCAACACTAGCCGGTTAGCTTAGCTTCGTATAAAGACTGTAAACAGGAACACAGCTTGCCTGGCTCTTTCCAGGGGCAGCAAAATCCACCAAACAGCACCTGAAAAGCTCACTAAATAACACATATAAATAAATATCAATAACATATAATAATAATTTAGTGTGTAATCCATACAAAAAGTAAAAATGATAAGCAAACTGTGTTACCGTCTGGCCATCTGCAGTCTTTATGCTAAGCTAAGCTATACATGTGACTGCAGTATCAATCTGCCCAATTTGCAGAACAAAAATGAATCAGCACATTTCCCAAAAATGCAAAACTAAAATAAAATTAAAAGGTATTTACACAGACTGTGTAAACATAGATTTGTGTATGTGTGTACATGTTTGTGTTCAGTCATAAAGTGGGTGAAAACCTATATCTCCAGTGTGCATTCATATAAATACATGCAATTTTACTTAGTACTAAAACCTCATAAAGGAAATACAAGCGTTTTAAATGACATGCCATTTGTACTATAAACAAACAAAGCCCACATCACATTAATTTGGTAAACTCGTGCTTAACAACTTCAACAATGCAATGATTCAGATATGAGTCACAAAAGCATTACTGCTGTTTAAAGCATCATAATTCCAAAGCAGAGACCTTTCTCATTATTTGTACTGTTTGTTTGTACAGTTTACTATGAATAGACACTTATTTCCAATCTCACAGTTATTATGAAGAAAATTTCAGCTGTGTGTTGGAGATGAACTTTTCCCCTTCCTCTTCCAAAGTGTTTGATGAATAATGACACAAAGGTTTAAAAACAAGACACAGAGAAACAGAAACATCTCAATTTCCACGCTGTATTATAAATAATGTTCTGTTCCCAAGCCAAGCAGCATCTCTGAGGATACCAGCCTGAGGAGGGAAGCAGCTTTTTGATTTTCTGCAGCTGAGGGATAATGGGAGTTTTATTTGCATAAAGAAATTCCAGAAAAAGATCCAAAATAAAATGCACTGGTGCATCTAGAAGTACAAGAGACCAGTAGACCGACACTGCTGGCAGAGAAGACTTAGAAATCTGCATAAGATGGAAACAGAGCTGGGTTATTGCATTGCATTGTTTGCTCAGTGTGTATCTGGCTGTAGACCTACAGGCGGTGTCGCTATCGTTTTGTCCTCACCAGTTACATACATGAAAAATTAAATTTTTAAATCTGAATATTAGGAACACCTCTGAATATAATGTAGTCCAGTACAACACCACCTTTAACTATGATAAAACATATAATTGAGCTTATACAATTATGACAACTTCACCAAAAGCTGAAACATTTTGAGCTTCATTAACACAGATGTTAAGGCAGAAGTGTTGCATTGAATTGCATACAATTGTACAAGTGTACCTAATAAAGTGGCTGGTGAGTGTATGTGTAAACTCACCTTCTCTTTCATCTTCTCGATTTTCCTGACAGAGCTGCGTCTCGGTTGGCGGTCTTCGTGGCGCAGGAGGTTCACGTTGAGATCTCCGGACTTGCTGAACTGCTTTTCCTCCTGTTTCTCTGCATCCTTCAACTTGCTCTCTGCACTAATGCTTTCAGTGTGGTACATGTGATATGTTTTCATCACCTGCAGGAGGAGGACGGCAGACATTCAGCACACTGACTGTTAGCAGGGCTTATCGACATCACATTTGACCATGTACTGTAGGTTATAAATAGAACTGACACGATGTACATAGGCTTCACTTATGCTGTCAAACAATGTAAAGAGAACTGACAAATGATTGGACAGCCTGTTTTATCAACAGAACATACAGGAGTGCATGGAATGAGGAAAGCAGATATAGTGTGTCATGTTGAAATGGTGAGTTGTTATATTAGGGCTTTAATAAAAATTTAATGAACTGTTTCATTGATAGACAGAAAATCAATTTGCAGCTATTTTAATAATCATTTCAGTTACTGACAAAATAATCCACAGATCAATCAAGAATGCAAATCAACCCGCACCTATGCATCGACTTGTAAGTGGTATCACTGTTGTGTTTTTGCTGCTGTGTTCCCTCTCAGATATGACCAACAATAAGGTGAAAACATAAGAAGCTGACCTCTGTTGCAGTTTTCACTGTCTTCTCTTTCTAAAATCTGGTTTGACTGTTGCTTGTTTGTGGTGAAGTGGTGGATCAATCTGGGACGGCAACACACGTGGGAGCTCGGTGTTGTATGTGGTTTAGTCCTGGCTGTCAAATATTCAGCTTACCCCTTCATTCCCTCTTCACTGTGGCCTTCCCAGCATCTACATCATTTCTAAAGTAAGTCTTCCTCACCCCAGGCTTGTTTATTTTCAGCTCTTTTGTGCATCAAAGTGACAGGATTGCTTTCTGTGTACTCTGCAGTTACCTCTTCAATTTGATCTCTACTTAGACACTCACTTTTGACTCAGACACCCCTACATCCTGCTCCAACATGGTGTTGACGCGACTGTAGTGACAGAAAGCCCTCTTCAAATGAGACAGAAGCATCTTCTATCTTTCTTAACACATCCCAGATGCTCATTGGGAGAGGCTCTCTACTTGGAAACTCAAGGCCTCATAAAGGAACGTCCAGATGTGAGCTGCTCCTTCAAACGTGTTGAGTATTCAGAATTTCCTATGAACACCCCAGGATGCTAAACAGGCAACATAAGCAGCAATTTATTTGTTTCCTGTGAACAAGGCAGTAATTTGCTCAGTTGAAGCTACACTTAAGCAGCAGGGATCCTTTAACCACTATCAGAGCTACTCATAAAAATCACATTTAATGTTGGGTCACTCATAACTATATAATTCCCCTGACCTTAAACACTGCGAGAGTAATGTTTGGCAGTGAGGCAACTTGAAGAGGCTCTACTTATTCCCCTCTCTACCCTGAAATAAATGTAACTCCAGGCAGCACAGGAACCCTTCAAACAAGAGAGCAACAAAGTGCTCTGTGGCAAACACCTTAAAAGTTAATTAAATACACTGAGTCTTCTCAGAATGACATCTGTGTGCTGTAGCTGTTCCTCCCTGTTTCAAACTGTTTCTTAGAAATTCCCCTAAAACTTTGCACCATCTGACTACCAGACAAAGTAATAAACAGGATGACTGAGCTTTGGCTGTGTCTACAGGAGGTGAATACGTGTGTGTGTACAGTTCAATCCTCTTTCAACAGCCCAGGGCTACTGTATTTAACTCCTGAGTAGTGCCTCTGAGCTGGCAAAAGAAGCCCGACAGGGAGAGAATGGCTGGAGACTTTCATTATGAAGTACGAAGTACAGACTTGAATCTAAATATTCTCAGGGTGTGTGATTTAAGGAGATGACTATGTAACCTCATTGTCTCCTGTTCAAATCCAGGTGAGGACTTTCATTCCATGTAATCCCTTTTCTGTATTGCCACAAAATATTTTCCTCTCAGGATTTGTAAAATCACATGATGAAACACAACACAAAACACAAAATCCTCTAAATGATGGACGGTGTATGGGCAAGGGCATAAAATACAAACAACTCAAGAAAATACCCAAGATACCAAAAACCATAACAAAATCTTTATTAGAATCCTTACTGAGTTTAGATATGAAAATATATATGAACGAGCCAAATGACGTTATATATAAAGTATTTTGAGTTAAAGTTGGTCCAATCATGCACAGAATAAATACATTTTAGTTATTAGTTGTTTATTTCATGACAACATGTTGCGATGAATGGATGACTATATCGGTGAATGAATGCTACAGCAGCACCCTTACCTGAAACAGCGTTGTCGTTAAAAGAAAAACCGTGTATGAGAGTGAAGAGCAGACATCAAACACAAGGTGGTGGATCAGAAAGATAAGCTAAAGCTTTATTGATCCCAGTGGGGATATTAAGACTGTGTCGCAGGAAATTAACACAGACTGAAAATGAATTTCAGAGAGTCAAGACAAGACTGTTCAGACCTTTGCTCACCTCATTTAAGATTCAGTACTGCTGGCAACATGACAGACAACAGTAGCTTCACTCCCACTAATACCTTGCTGCAGCATCATGCTTGAAACAATATTTGAACAATAGCTCCAGCCCACAGTCTTTCATCTGTCCCTTACCTCTCACTGAGCAGCTAGGAACCCAAACGGGATTTCACAGTTTTCCTTCAGCAAAATTGGTTTTGTTGGCAGCCAGTGAAAACTGTTAGAAAATACCACAAGGCAATCACCATGTGGCCATGCTATTGATTTAGCTATTTTGCAAAATCAAATATTAATAAGCCTGCATTCAGGAAAAACTGTGCTTTTTGCCTGAGGGTGAATCCACACCAGTCACTTGTGAAGTGCTTCAAACATTTATGGCTCATTGTGCATTTTCAAGCTTTGTTGTACATATGTAGGTCATGGTGGTGATGGGGAAGGTAATTTCTTATAAATTTCACCAACTTCATTTGCAAAGTAGGTAATGACAGTCGGTCCCAAACAGCTTCACAATGTCACTATTGAAAGAATAATAAATCCAAAAATCTGTCAACATTAGAGAGAAGGAATAAACAAGGAAACCATGTGAACTGATAACAAACAAGGGAACCCCCTTCAACGATGATCACGATGCGCTAGAGCGAGAAAACACAGACTGATCTGTGAAGTTTCATTTAACTCTCACAAACTCTAAAAGACCTGGGAAGTTCATCAACATTTGGATTTTACATTTTCAGCCAGACCGCAGCTGAGGACAAGTAGAGCAAGAGAGGTGGGGCCATCTGGGTCTTATTATGCAGCACTATATATATATATATATATTCACACACTCAAGAGAACAGAAACATCTGTTTCCAAATGTTTCTGGATGCCACAGTGAACTTGCAACACTCCCTGACGCTGAAGACCAAACTGAAACTTGCTGGCAGACATGACCTTCTGAAAAGGAAGACAAACTGCATTTTCATTTATTAACATAAAGCCTGTCAGATGTAGAGGACAGAAACCTTGGCCAGTCTTTAAAATGTATTTGACCAAAAACACAGTCCTTTTAAAATATGTATGAAAGTCATTAACATGAATACATTTTTGATGATCGCGCGCTCCCCATAATACTGCCTCTTTCAGTGGCCAAATGTACAGATGGCAAGATCAGGGAGAGGTGCCAACACTGCCCTTTGCTAGGTTGACTGTCATCACACTGCACAGATGAACAAGTCACAGAAGGCAGTTCTGCCATCTCCCCTGTTTCACCTCAGGAGGCAGAAGATTGCTGAAGTTGCCTGGAGCTCGTCCAGTCTGGGGCACTACACCTCCCTCAGTAAGAACTCGTCTCAGAGTAACGGTACTGTGTCCTTATTCCTGACATAGGTTTATTGATTTACAAGGTTTTTTTGCACAAAGTCCCATTATTAACACTGCGGTTCTTCAGTTATAACCAACTGCTGCACAGTAAATGTAAACTGTTACAGATAGTGGGAACAAGAGTGAAGAAAATAACTACAGCTGCAACAATGTCAATCAGAAACAACTGTCAAAACCTGTATAAGATTACTGCCTATTTTACTGTATCTGACACCAACACAGTCTGGTGTACTGACACTGCTTTTAAAAATACAACTGAGACAATGAGGGCTTGAAAGACAAGCTGCCGACATGAATACTCCCCTGTAATTGTACTGACTTTTCACTGTAAGAAAATTAGCTGACAGAAAGAAACATTGGGCTAAATACACCTCACTTATTGATAACTACAACAGGAAATGACTGTCCAGTCAAAACCGTTTTCTATATTAAAACATACAGAAAGCAGCAGCAGGATGCCCTAGAGCTGCTTACTATTAAAAATCTTAAAAAGAAACTGGGCTGCAGTGAAGCTGAGAGACCTCCCCCCCCCCAGCTTTTCAGGGAAATGAGCAATGTGGACATTTATCTAAAGTAATACATCCAAATAAAGCAGAGGACAGCATCAATACAACAACAATAAATAAAACTAGACACACACACACACACATTGTACCAGTGGAGAAACTGGTCATTATAGTAAATGACTATCTGCAACAAAGCAAAGTGGTGCCATCAAATACAACAAAGCAGCCAAACTGGAACTGGTGACCTACAACGACTGAGTGGTTTATTGTGATGTAAACAAGATGCACATTATGTAATCTGTTAATTATTTCTCCTTAAGAGTTGTCAAACACGATCTAACAAATCAGTCATATGTTTATGTAGGCCTTCACAGAGCCAACCAGTGACATGAACCCTGATCAGCAGCAGAGCTGAGGGAACCCACCAGATTGTGGAGCGATTCACTGTCAAACTTGGAGAGAAATGTAATGTTCCATTTCATCATTTAATCCTCCTTTGTACTAAGCAGGTATACGACAAATAAAAGAAGTTAAACAATCAGCCATTGTCACAATAGTGGGGCGATAGTTTGGTTTGCTTTACACTTCAGCAAAACACAAGCAATTTCTCAGTAGCGCCTAAACAGCCTACAAAGAAAGTATTTAGAAAGGAAGTCTCAGGTATTTCATGTACAAAGAAGAGGAAAAAAAGCCATAAAGGAAGACAAAAAATTGAACACGAGATAAAATGTCGCAAAGACAAAGAAAAAAGAACTTTGGATGAGCTCTGTGATGAGAAGAGGTGTGAGAGATCGATCTGTAAGAGGAAGCATATTACTTACAGTGTAGAGTTCATTCGTCACCTTCACCAGCTCCTCGTGCATCTGGATCCCAATATCCTTGCTCTGAAATGCAGAGAGCAGAAAGAATGGAGGTGAGAAAACAAATAACAAGTAGCCTACCGGAACAAAGTCAGGCGATTATGCTCACAGTATGACTTTGGTGAATTACAGAAAAATATCTCACCAGCTACTGGATGGGCAGCCGCCAGAGCTGGTACAGATATTCATGAATATCAACAGATGAACCCTAATGCCTTTGGTGGTTCCCTGACTTTTCATCTATCACCGGTGATAGGTAAGATATTAAACTCATCCCATAGTGCAAGCTGTGAAAAGATGCCTCTAAAATTAAACACTGACAGTTTTATGCTCAACTGAGAATATTTATTGATTTATGACATTGCAACCACTTACTTCTCCCTCAGTCTCCTCAGCCTGCTCTTCCAGCCAGGTGTGAAACATGGAGAAATGAATGAACGCATGGGGGGGGACAGCTTTCAAAAACTTGCTAGTTGAATAAACAGTAAGGCGTACAAATCGGGTGTACCACAGATATGCTGTGGTAGGCAGTGGTGGAGGAAGTACTCAGGTCCCGTACTTAAGAAAAAGTAACTATACCACAGTGTAAAAATACTCTGTTACAAGTAAAGGTCCTGCATTCAAATTGTTACTTATGTAAAAGTACAAAACAAGTTCTAAAAGTACTCATTATGCAGAATGGCACATTTAACATTAATGTATTTGGATTAGACTTATTGATGTGTTTATTGTCATCACTATAATGTTACAGCTGGTAAAGGGGGAGCTTGTTTTAACCAGCTTATGTGGTTATAATTTCAATTACTGCTGGGAAACAAGTGAATTTCCCACCGTAGATCAGTCTTATGATTATACTGTTTATTTAATCAATCTGATTCTAAAAAATAACTAGTATGTAAAGTTATAAAATAAATGTAGTGCTATAAAAAGTACAATAAAATGCAGTGAAGTCAAAGTATAAAGTAACACAAAATGTTTATACTAAAGTACAGTATAGATACCTCAAAATTGTAGTACAGTACTTGAATAAATGTACTTAGTTACTTTCCACAACTGGTAGGAGACATACTCACACAATCACAACAACAATTGCAAACTTTTCTTTTTTAGCAAATCTGTTGTACCCACGTGCTTAATGGCACATTCATAACTAATTTCCTGTGATCACTCATTACCTATTTATGTGTGTGTACATACAGGAAGTGTTCACATGTGTGAAATGTGTCTGTGCATGTGTGAAGTGAATCAAGAAGTGCAGAAAAAGAAAAACCCTGTCTACTGACAGACCTAAATATGAACATATAAAAAGAAATCTATAACTTATCAAGAGGAATGACGAGTCCTGTTCCAGCTTTTAAATCTCATAAATAACAAAAACATGGCTACAGCCATAATTTGTCTCCGATTTAATCAATTGTGTTTAGAATCTCAAAGAATCTGCCAGAGACACAGCTAACGCACGGTCAAGTCATCTCACAGCTTTAAGTACAAACACACACACGTCAACTTTTATAGTCACAACATGCTTTGTGCTCAAAAACATGGGACACACCTGAACTGGAAGGGAAAAAACTGACACAGTACTAACGTCTGTTTGTGGGTGGGAGAGAGAGGCATAGAGCCTTTATTTGAAGACTTCAAGGTGAGAAAATGAACCAACAGCACTAGCATGTCTCAGTGTGATAGTCTGACACATTCAAAAACACAGAAGCAGCACCTCTTCTAACTCCACAGAGCTACTGAGAGTTGTTGTTTGAGAGAGGCTTGTCACTGCAGCAAAAGTTTCAGCTTTTGTTGAATTCTGTCTGCCTAAACCTAAGCAAAGCTGACCTATGGGGAGAAACAGTGGACCTGCTAAAACGGCAAACAAATCCAATTTGCCGGTCACAATTTGAGAGTCTTTAATCAGTGTTGAAAGTGAAAAGGTCAAGATAGTTGAGGCCACGCTCATGAGTAATTCATTTACCAAGGTGGGCTGTTGGTGTGCAGCTAACCGATGCCTCGCCTGGTGCATGCTGAAGTGTATGACATGCTTTCATAAAATAGTATAAAAGGTTTTTTAAGCCCCCACATGCTCATTACATTTCTTAGACTTGACTTTTACTAGTGTCAACATGAGAAGTTTCATTTTCCGCCTTCTTAATATAACAAGAAGGAGCTGTGCTAAAACAAAGCCTCGGTGCACCTTTATAGACAAAGAGTAACTGAACAGAGGCAGGGCATGCACTCATGCAGTTTACTCATGGACACACACACACACATGCCAAACCCACCCACTGTTCAGAGGGATTAATAGAAAGATGAAAGTTAATATTTTTGTCCACATCCTACTTGGTTATAATAACTGTGCTTGAGAAAACCTGCTGCTGGTGAGTCAGAACCCAAAGAGGGAACTCACAAAACGCAATGTTGCTCCAGCAGTGGGTTCCCTAAGACTAGATTAGGAAATGCACCTGAAGAGGAAAAACAAAACGGCCTTACTAATGCAGACGACATTTGTTGGTTTTGATCTGTTTGTATCTGGTGTTCACGCATTAAGTCCTACTCAAACAAGCTCTGGTCTGAATGTGATAAATGGGGGAAATCCTCAGAAGGCTCTAGCAGCTGGTTAATGGCATTTGTATGCATCAGAGGCTCTGCACAGCAAAAAGAGGACTGTTGAAATTTCAGAGTTAAATGTTTCACAGTTGATTTCAACTCCCAAAGAATATTTTTAACATAGTCAGTGTAAAATGTTGTTCAGTGTTGGAGTTATTTGATAGAGCTGATTGTGTCAGTGTTTGCTTAACTCTGTGGAGAAATAATTGCATTCATTTTAACTCTAAGGGTGATTGAATTTGCTTTTTCAAATTTGCAGTATGAAGTGAGACAGACTGCAGCATGAACATGGGGGGTGATGCAACACATTGTAAGAGCTGTAGCAGGTCATATTGTAACAGCCCTCATAGAAACTCTTCTCTCACAGAAAGACTAAACGCAGCACATTTGCACCTGCTACTGTTTATTAATGTATTCTCTCTGAATTTAATATATATTGAGAGTCATGGAAGAAGTCAGCAGGGAACATCTGCCTTCTGAATATTCATATTTTATACATAGAATATATTATTTAGGACAATATTCCTTGTTGTTATTCTGAACATAATCTACCAACTCTGTGATTGGCTTTTCAACAAAGGCATGAAACCTGCAAACTTGGAACTTTGGGAATATTCTGCTCTGGCCTGAATGTAGGTTCAACCGAACCAATTAGATACATAGACTACCATACACGATCTTTACATGTACGGCATCTTAACAAATCGGACATAGAGTACATCATAAATGTAATATAGACCCCATGTAAGTCAAGGTTGTGGTAGTTCTATTCATACAATACAGCTCCTGATCAGGTTTTTGTCAAAAGCTGATCACCTTGCTATTTCCAACAGTCAGTCATCCAAAGCTCTTCATTTAACATTTTTATTTTTTCCAGTGCTCCATGACATTATTTTTTGATACATTACTTATTATTGCCCAACGTGTCTTCCAGCATGCAGCAGCAGAGCCACCCATTTATACAGCCAAATGTAGAAATGCTACCTGAGGGTACGTGACTCAAAAAGAATAGAGTGTCTCTCCCCTTTCAGCTCTGACACACACACACACACACATTCAGGGAAGTATCTGAATGGAGCCTTGTAAGCGAAGTGGAGCTCACCTACAGTGATGACTGGACAAGACCTCAGGCCTCTGCCCAGACAGAGCCCATGGTACCACATTTCTCATTGTGCTACTGAAGGAAAGATGTTGGCAAGCTGTCTTCAACAGCTACAACTTGTACCTTGCAAAATCAACTTTACAGCAACTACAGTGCACGACAGTTGCACCCCAAGTTCGGAATTAAAATGTCTGAAAGACGGAAAAACTTACATCAGCAAACGAAAGTTTGAACTTCCTGGTATTTGTATTGACCCTGGATTCTGAATGTTTGTGCACTGGTCAAAAGGAAATAAAAGCAAACAACGAGGGAGAGATGACTGACCTTCTTAAAAAGACGGATGATATCCTCGCTGATCTGGGCCAAGCGAATGATGACATTGTTGGTGTAGATGTCGTTGAGGGTGGCGTGGTCACGGCTCTCGCGCCTGATCTGGTTTAGCAGCAAGTACCAGCAGTTTACTGAGGACAGCAGGTGCTGATCTTTTCTGAAAAAATAAAAACACAAAAACAAGAAAAATGTATGATTGAAGATCCTTCATGATTAATCAACATCTGGACAATATGTTAATTATCTTTAAAGTTTCGGCACAATCCACGTTGTTTCACTGGGTTTCACTGTGGGGGGAAAAAAAGGATATGCAGCACCAACTTCAAAGTGCCCCATTCAGGGAGATTCGTAATACTAATCACATCTAATTAAGCTGATATATAGATACTCCAGAGTGCTTTCCCCATCATTCCTTTACTTAGCTCTGACCTTAAACACACATCAGGCGAACAGGATACAAACACCAGGGCATAAGATGGGCTGGTATGTGGAGTAAAGCTCATCTAGCAATTTATTAGGCAAGGCAAGTTTATTTATATGGCACATTTTTGTACAGAAGGAAGAGGAGGAGGGAGACAAGTGTGGCTTCCTGGCATAATATTACATCTGTCTCATCGAGCAAAACACTGCTTGATTGTCCTGGTTTTTTTATTTCTGCACTCCCTCACTGTTTCTGTGAGACAAGCACAAACACGCTGCATATTCTGTGAAAGCACAGAGCAGCATGAAGAAGATGAAGAAGAAGAAGTGAATGGGGATCTCATCTAGCAATTTATTAGGCAAGGCAAGTTTATTTATATGGCACATTTTTGTACACAGAGGCAATTCAAAGTGCTTAACACAATGCATATAAATAAATAAAATATTAAAATGCATATATAGCTAAAAGATTAGAATTAAATGCACCCTTTTAGAGCAAAGTAAAAGCAACAATTACATGATAGCACCAAGTCACAACATGCAACTGTTGAGACCTTATTAAATTTGCTGTGTCAAAATGAGTTGACTCCATCTGACAGACTATGAGTAGGATTTACTAACAATAGAGGACCTAATCTAGACCATATTCTCCTTCACTCCTCTGGAATGGCCTATTTCTCGTGCCTCACCATCCCTCATAATGTACCAGTTCTGCCTGAGTGACCTATCTGCCTGTAAGGGACGCCACTCCTCGCTGTATAATTGCTGTGAGACGTTTAAAGAACAAGCACCTCTACTCTCTGCTAATCCCTAAAAGTGGTCAGAGATGCTTCAGCAACTCCCTAAGCACGACCAGGCTTCCATTTTCTTACCTTTTTTATTTTCCTCAACTTCCCACCCAGACAGTGCTCACAGTGATTTGCAGTGCCTGTGGACCTGTGGGCCCCAGTATAATACTGCTGGTTAAACTGCTTTTAAATCTCTTTCATATAATAAAGTATTTCACTTGAGTGGAGTACCAGTCAACCACAAGTTCTTTACTTTGTATATCACACTGACAATATTACAGTGTGGCCTATCACTGTGAAATTTATGGGCCTTAAAGGCATTTAATCTGAAGAAAGAAACACACACACATATATATATATATATACACAACAAAATTATAAGACAAAAAAGTCAGATGCCAGCAAAAAGATGCCACTCATTTGAGTTTATTACCTGAGACCTATACCTCTACAACATTCCCATCTGGGATTTTCACAAGGACAAAACTGGAAGGAACATTATACAAACAAAATAAACTTAAATTAAAAAAATAATCATTTCTCTTCATTCATGGCCCAAAAATGCAAAAAAAAAAAAAAGTAATTTAACTACTTGGATTGCTATGCAAATATGAATGTAGTTGAACTACCACCAAGCTAATGCAAAATGTATTTAAAGTTAAAATGCATTTAGTTCACTACTCCCCCACACTGCATCTATAGCTGTACGAAATTTCATAGCAGTCCACTCACTAGATATGAAGATATTCCACTTGATGATTGTTGGAGGCTACAGAAAAAGTTTAGGTATCATCAAAGTCATCAGACTTGAGGAGACTATAAATATCTTATAAATATCTAATACTGCAGCCAAACTACTGTGTCAAAGGCTTATTTTCATGCTTTGCTTGTTTTATACACTGAGACACTAACTTTGCTATACCGGCTCTAACACAGACACCTACTATATCTATCACAAAGGACCAGAACACAGCAAAGCCCAGTCTTCCATCTCTCCTCTTTATGAGCGTGTCCTCCCTGATTCCCAGTAAAAGGCTGAGTATCAGTTGAGAGCCTGTGGGTCAAGTAATATAAAGGATTTCAAAACGATTGGTTTTGATTGGCTCCATGTCCTCTGTATTTATACACAGGATATCATTAACATGCAGAAGGCAAATGATGAGCTCTGAGAATCTCTGGAGAAGTGAGAAGGAAGAGGAGGAGGGAGACAAGTGTGGCTTCCTGACATAATATTACATCTGTCTCATTGAGCAAAACACTGCTTGATTGTCCTGGTTTTTTTATTTCTGCACACCCTCACTGTTTCTGTGAGACAAGCACAAACATGCTGCATATTCTGTGAAAGCACAGAGCAGCATGAAGAAGATGATGAAGAAGAAGTGAATGAGGAAACAAAGAATGAGTTGGAAAATACTGCAGTTAAGGATAAACTGATAGTAAGCTTTCTCCATAACATGCATACCCTGAACAAGTAAGAATTGTATAGAACAGTGTCCGTGCTTTAGTCATGATTGCACTGAAGGCCAATATCTAATCACCCAGAGCCTATGATGTGTGTGAGTCAGGACTTCCAGATGGACGCGTGTATTTATCAAATCACAACTGGGCTCTGTGAAGGCCTTTAATCCCCTCTACACTGCCTGCCTGCTGCTTATCAGTGAAACAGCCAAGGAAAAGGAGAAGAAGCCAAACACAGTTTCAAAAGAAACACATGGGTGCATGCTGCTAGCTTTGCCATTCAAGTTCATCTTGCCCTCATTTTCAAGCAGGGCTTCAATATGCTATAGTGCTCATTTGCATCATTTAGCAATTTCTTTTCTGTGAGGACAGACTGCCAACATTTGATAATGCACAGCTGCACAAACGCAGGAGCCAGGGCAGTGCACAGCATGGTGTGAATGAAGAGGAGACGAGGCTTTGACAAGATCTGAAAGATAAACTGCACACGCTTATCTACTGATGTTACACATGCTGACTTCCACTAGCTTCACTTGTCAATCGGACAAGAGCAGCGGATTGACTGGTGTACTTAAATAAGCCAAGCTTTGAGAGACAGAGTTTAACCTTTGCCCTTTTTAACTGGGAGTAGCCATGTTTCAACATAGTAACACTATAGGACACAAAGGCCACAAAGCACCATTAAAGTATCTGGTCCTATTCTATAGCTGCAGACACAAGTCCACGTAATTACACAATAAATAAAGCATTGCATCACACTTTTCCATAAAGGCTCTTTAAAAACAAATGTGTTTTGGATATGGGCTGCATGACACCTAATGTCCAGTGTTTGGAAGCATGTTTGACAGGCTTGAATATTAAATGAAACATAAGTTCTGTCCAAAATCAGCCCTATTCACTCAGTCACTACTCCTTATATAATGTACCCTAAGTAGCAGAGGTGGGGAGACTCCAGTCACATGACTTAAGTTGCAAATTTGAGGACTTGAAACTTGTTTGACTAATGCTGACAAAAGACTTGACTTGACTTTGACCTGGTATTCATGACTTGAGACTTGACTTAGACTTCAGACAGATGACTCGAAATTACTTCATTTTTTTATTAATTATTTGTATTTTTTACATAGTGAGAAGTTACATTTTGTTTTTGAACGCAATTCGGTGTTTTCTTGTGCAATGTGTGCAAACCTGGCAACTTGTCAGAATGCAGCAGACCAGCAGAAAGCAATTCGGGTGTCAGGATGCAGCTGTCATGGAGGGCCTTAGTCCAAAAATACTAAAATCTGGATTCAAGAATTAGGTTGTTGATGATGATAGTAAGAAGACTTGGCTTTGAATTGATTATACATCTTACTGAGAAGAGTTTCTGATGGCCATGAAAGGCATACCTTTTTATTTAATAGCTAAGTCTTAGTTTATAGTTAAATACACATTTAATAATCAGAGGAGGTGTGTGAATGTTTTACTTAAATACTTGAAATTCCCATAACATTATCAGATCATCAAAATTTTGCATGACTTGACTTGTGACTTACTTGACTTAGAGTGAGGACTTGACTGGCTTAACTGTCACCACAGTCACCTGTGACTCGCTTGAGATCTGAATGTTAAGACTTGAGACTTGCTTGTGACTTGCACATGTGTGACTTACTCCCAGCTCTGCTATATAGTGAGTAGAGATTGATTTCGGACACAGCCATTGTCAAAGCTGTGTTCTGGTGCATAACATGAACATAGATATCACTTACAAATGAGCAAAGCCAGCTTCTAAACTGAAATAACATCCATCCATCCATCCATCCATTATCTATCCCATTTATCCTGCAGAGGGTTGGGGGGCCTGGAACCAATCCTGGCTGCCACTGGGCGAGAGGCGGGGGACACCCTGGACAGGCCACCAGTCTATCACAAGGCTGAATGTTGGTCCTGGTTTAGCAAGAAGCATTTGTACAGATGATACATCCGTCACTATAAATAACAATACAATCGAAAGGAATATGAGTTCTATGTTTCTGAAGCCCATTGTTGAAAAGGAAATTATAGAGATAGTGAACAAATGTGGTAATAAAACATCTAGTGATAGTGATGGTATCACTATGACAACTGTTAAATGGGTAATTGAGGGGATATGCAAACCATTAACCCATATTTTTAACATGTCGTTTCGACTTGGGCAGTTCCCCAATAATATGAAAATAGCAAAGGTTATTCCACTGTATAAATCTGGCGATAAGCACAACCTCACAAATTATAGACCGGTTTCTCTGTCACAATTTTCAAAAATTCTGGAAAAACTCTTTAATCATAGATTAGATACATTTATTGACAAACATAAAATCCTCTCTGATTGCCAATACGGTTTTAGGTCGAACCAATCGACATCTTTGGCCATTACCGACCTGAT